TCTTTGGCAGTATGCAAAATTTTTCAGACTGGGGAAGGGAATGGGAGGAGAATCCTGTCACCTGACTAACTGAGATACTAAAAGCCTGGGCCTAAACTTTCTCACTTTCCTTACTACTAAATCCTAATTACTTCAAAGACTTCATTGGGACTACTCACCTCTGAGTAAATTCAACAGAATTTGACCCCATGGGCAAAATTTATTTTCCTGAATTCCGCTCATGATTATCTCATACTCTGAAGCAGGAGTCTTGACAGACCTTGTACATTTTATCTCACCTGTTGTAACTGCAGGTGCTATTCTTATTTATAGATATATCTAGTACTTTTCAAATCTTGCTGAGCTTTTTATCCACGAAATATCTTATGGTGGTGAGTCCTGAGGTTTCATTATACATTGTGTGAAAAGTCTTGTATCCACTTTAAATTTACGTCACAGCCTTTTTTCATATACACTTCACAGGGATTGCAAAATTCTCCTTTCCACTGTATATTAACCTTTTTGTTAGAAACTGGAATACCTTTACCAGTGCAGGCAAACAAAGAATGATTGATATCTTAGTCCATCTACATCATTAAAAAATGAACATCAATTACCTCCCAACACTATCTGTGATACCACAGGTTATCGACTGTTCTAAAAAAAAAAATCTGTGGTGTCTCAAATACTTGTATGTTTACTTGTTAATAGGAACTATGTTATGTTTCCTATGGGCCTGATCCTGGATGATGCCAAGTAACCTCAACTCCGAAGACTTCAATGGAAACTAAAGGCAGTGGACACCTCACAGTATCAAGTTTTAAGGAGGTAATTGTTAGATCTGTACAGACATGTGGTCTTGCTTTGTGCAAAATGTTCCAGGCTTTCTTTCTTGTGGGATTGCACCTCTTGATTGTTACTTTTTTGGGGAGTGTTATTAATCCAAAAGTGAAACCCATCTGAAATCACCAAGCTTGACTTGTTTTGCCATGGAATACTTGTAAAATGACTGAGCTTTGCATGCTTTCCACCCAAAGTCCTAATTCGTCATGGGTGCACTTGAACCTCAGCCCAAACTCAGCAAACCTTTTGGCAAACAAAGGCTGCGTTTCAGGTGTGCAATAGAAGCTAAAACCAAGCAGGTTTTATCTGATTTGGGGTTTCTTCATAAAGGTTTTTCACAACTCCATCATCATCTTTTTTTTTTTCTTTTTTACATAAAGGGCTTGGACCCTTTGGAGTTACATGGATGTTTTCTGATTGCAATGGGAGCAGAAGCAGTCCCAGAAAGCACTCAACAGCCTAAACTCGATGTTGAATTCTTCATCGAATCTAACTGCAGCATATTCAGTACAGTATTCTCCACATCTGGAAAAATGCAGAAGATATCCTTAAACTGCAAATGGAATTCAACAGCTATATGACAAGTATATGTATAAATCAATTAACAGAGCCTTCCAGTTCATCACAGGATCAGACCCTAATTGCATAAACTGAGATCTCTTAATTATTGAATTGTCCAACTTAATCTTTTAGAAAGATATCTAGCCTATACTTTTTTCCCTTTTACATGAGAGGGAGTAGGCTGGTGGTTAAAGCACAAGGCTGAGAACCTGGAGATCTGGTTCGTCTCTCTGTCTCAGTCATACACTTGCTATATTAACCCAGGCAAGTTATTTAGGGTACACATTTTCAAACTTTGTTACCTAGTTCACTTGAATGAAAGGTGCATGTGCTCAGCACCTCTGACAACCAGGCACTTATTTAGATACTGTAGCTAAATATGAATGTAGGTGCTAACTATAGGCACCAGTATTTGAAAGATGTGGATCTTAACCTTTGGGCTGGTCCTCACTAAGCCCCCAGTTCGAACTAAGATACGCAACTTCAGCTATGTGAATAACGTAGTTGAAGTATCTTAGTTCGAACTTAAAGGTACATACCGTGGGTCCACACGCGGCAGGCAGGCTCCCCTGTCCACTCCGCCTACTCCTCTTGTGGAGCAGGATTACCGGTGTCGACGGCGAGCACTTCCGGGATCGATTTATCACGTCTAGACAAGACGCGATAAATCGATCCCAGAAGATCGATTGCTTGCCGCCGAACCAGCGGGTAAGTATAGACATACCCTTTGTCTCAGGGCTGTCTACATGGCAAGTTACTGCGCTACAAGCCAGGGCATGAATCTCTAGCACACCGGTTTGCCACACACTACCTTGCTATGTGGACACTGCTACAAGGGCTGTGCTATGATCATTTCAGAGTGTGTTTTAATGTACTGCTACTTCAAAGCGTGGTACTCTAGCTGCACTCAGGGACTTTCACTGCACTGTGGCAGTGTCCACACAGGACATTACACAAGCCAGGATTTGAATCTACAGCACACCAGCTTGCCGCTCAGTAGCTTGCTGTGTAGACAAGCCCTCAGTTTCTTCGTCAGTGAAATGAGGTATGTAGCCTACCTTACAGAGCTTTTGTTTCATCAGTATTTACAAATGTACACCTTTACTTTAAGAATTGTGGATAAAGGCTCTCTGGAAGTCTAAATTAGTATTATTCCATTTTCAGCTGTCTGAACAGACAGACAGCTGCTCTTGGGTTTGACAAATAGTGAACTTCAGAGCTACGATTCACAATCTCTGTGGGGATGAGGAAGTGAAGGGGGGAAAAAAAACAACCAACAGAACATCTCTGGAAAGATACATCAGCTCTGCAAATCATGTATTAATCTCTAGTTAAAATTACCCATCTTATAGTGACAGCAAAATTTCTGAAATAACCTAAACCTATGTCATGGGTATGAATTCATGTCATGGATACATGCAGCCTCTACACTGAATAGAATTACTACTACTACAAACACAGTATTCTTCCAGGAAGATGACATGGTGGGCAATGTAATCTCTTTTACTGAACCAACTTCTGCTGCTGACAGAGATAAGCTTTCGATCTTGCACAGAGCTCTTCTTCAGGAAGATGGGTTTCAGAGTAACAGCCGTGTTAGTCTGTATCCGCAAAAAGAAGAACAGGAGTACTTGTGGCACCTTAGAGACTAACAAATTTATTAGAGCATAAGCTTTCGTGGACTACAGCCCACTTCTTCGGATGCATATTTTTTCAGGAAGATGGTGAGTTAGTAGCAATCCTATTCAATGTAGAGGCTGAATCATGACCAAAGAGAAATATAAATGAGAAAGCATCAAAATTGCTACAGTACATTAAAACAACAGCTCTAGTTTAAAGTCACAGCAATTTCTTCCAAATGTTCTCCTGGTAACTTCAGTGTTCTATTTTTAACAAACAAACAAAGTAATAAAAAAAGAAAAGAAAAGAAAACTCAAACCCTAGACGGCTGCAAAGCCATGGCTGCCTATACATGACAGGCACACCAAGAAAAGGGTGTCATATTAGAGATCCAAAATAGCAGAGAGAGAAGTCAAATTTAGGAGATGGGATAAAGTGGAGGATTAGAAACAGGATACAGTAACAACTTTTTGGCATTTTTTCACATTCCTTGATGCGTGAATGTCTGTTGGTGACATCAGTGCTGCTCTAAAATGAAGATCAAGTTTAATTTAATTGTAAATTGTTAGTTTAGAAAATGTACCAGTTTGTTATATTACAGTCAACTAGGAATCTATTACATTAAAATGTTTAAATGATACTACATTATGACAAACAGATAGGAAGGCAAGTTGGTAACAAGTTATTGCTGACATTCCACAATTAACTTCCTGTGCATTTATATGAACAAAAAAGGCTTAATACTATAAGGTAAGGGTTTTAGTCTCACATTTCAATTTGCTGACCATAAACATAACAATTTTTGTTTTTCCTCCAGCCCCCATTAATTACTTCGGTTTATTTTTCAAAAAACTCTTTCAGGAAATTCTACCCAAAGTAATACACATGCATTACTCATCAGTGACTGGAAATCTTGTAATTTGTTTTACATGCATATACACACACATGCATTTTAAAGAACTTTAGAATAAGTGTAACTCAGTTCTAACTCTATCAGAGATTACCTGGACATTAATGCACAATACTTGCTAAGACAGTCTAGAAAAGTTACTGTATATGAATATGTAATAGTCCATTTTTATAACAACCAAGTACTATTTAAATATTTATTACACAGTAGGTTTGTACACATTTTAAAAATTGATGTAATGCAATTTTAACTTCCAAACAGCTAAATAGATTAAACAACATTTTAAAAGGTTTGTTACAGTGCTGAGACCACCAGAGGTATACTTAGAGCAATTTATATATATATATATATATATATATATATATATATACCACCAACCCAACTAAAA